AGAGAGAGAGAGAGAGAGAGAGAGAGAGGTTCTAACTGGGCATGGTGAGAATATGGATTAAAACTAGCCTTGCTATGTGAATATTCCTTGCCAATATCTGAAACTATACCTGGACAGAGAGGCACTGGCAATTCTTTCTATCGTATGTATGGTGGCACAGCTGCAACACAATTAAAGACCACATCAAATTAAATAGAGACAACAGCAGCAGATAATCGCCAGGGAACATCACAAAAAATCTTGATCTTTGAAAACAAGGTTTTGGTTGCACCATACAAATTAAACAGTATACAATAATAATGTCCTTTTCAAATCAATATAGTCTAACAATAGAACTTATTTTATTAAGTTGATGGTAGTACTACTGGGCTATTTTATGTAAGATTTAATAAGAGTTCAACAGATCACCAAAATATCCTCCAGTTTAGGAATACAAACCAGCCACTTCCAGATAACAAACATAGCATTTCCCAAGTGCTCATGTGTAGCCTTTCTTGGTCAATACTAATTCAGTATTTGCAGATTGCAACAGCAGAATGTTGAATGATACATAAGAGAAATGCAAATTCTGTGACACAAAGGGCAGTTGGATAACTGAAAATTTTACTGGGAAAAAAAGGAAATTTTGAAAGATTTATCAAAACAACCTTTAAAATTGTGGTAAAACTCATAAACGGGAAAGGCAAAAACTGAGGAAGACTTAGGAGAAGAGAATCCCAAAATATAGGGAGGATAAAAATGAGAAAACCATATAGCAAACAAAGTGACTTGAAAAATTCAGTAATCCTCAGCAATTTAACATATAAACCTCGCAAGGTATATTGAGCTTCTATAGGTGGGACATTGGTTTTTCTTTCTTGCTGACACAATACCTTGCCAGACACATATGAATATGTTGAGCAGGTCTTAGGGCAATAAAATACTTCAGCAATATCAAGATTCCTCTGGAGTAGTAACAGCTTTCTTGAAATACACCACAATTTATAACAACAAACACCTATTATTTTATTTTCTTTTATAAGAAGCAACAGTACCAGCAAAATTTGATATGAGAATTGCATATTATAACCAATATCCTCACATCCCCCACACAATACCGGCCAAAAGAACACGAAAGACAAATGAAGAAAAATACAACATAATGGTGATTGCGTTTTCATATCCAGACAAACAATGGTAACCGGGGAACATCGTTTTGGTAGAGGCATTTCCTCGTCCAGATATGGTCAGGGACCTTCTTGCTCATTCCCTAGGATGCAGGGTTCATTCCATTTCTAGCAAACAAAATACAGGCTGGTAATAAGAAAAACACTAAAAGAAAATTTAATATAACAATACCTCTTGACTCCTGTAGGGAGAACATTTGGAAATACATAATGATGACTGGGTTCAAGTGCACCATTAATAGTATTAGGTAACACTGAAGCAAGCAGACCAACTGATTTTTTATTCCTGAGAAGGAAACATTGATGAAGTTAATATGAGCCGCACTTCAAGCAAGTTCCATGGAAATCTAATCAACCACATATCTCACTAAAAAAGACAAGATTACAGCATGGGGATAATGCACCTTTGATTTGTAACTGAGTCAAGATGAAAAACATGCAGAGAGCCTGAGGAGCTTGTAGCCACAAGTAGATGCGGGAATCCCTTTGGTGGTCCAAATGCAAGGGAGTAGATAGTGGATGGATATGTCCCTCTTCGAAAACTATATGACTGCTCATTATACCATATTTATTCATTGAGTACTACAGAAAGATATTATAGTCCTAATTACTGATTGAGCCTCTCACATACACAAGAAATAAGCATCACTACAAAACTATGTAAAAAGCTGTAAACCCATAGGATGTAATTTCACCTTTTTTGCTTGTGAAATAAGATGAACTCTGATTATGGTCCCTTGCTCAGAAGCTGTAGCTATGTATACACCATCAGAAGAAAGAGCCATTGCAGCCAATGGAGAGCGATGAGCCTCTATCTGCATTAAAAGGATAAGAACAAGAAGAATTTCATAATTCAGCTGGGGCATGCAGGATCACAAGCTTTAGATGAGCTAAACCAATGAAATGTCAAAGAGAGAAATGTCAGAGAAGTGAAGCTACAAGATTTCGAGAAGTGAAGTTACAAGATTCCGATTATTAAATGAAATGATTAGAATATAGTAAGGTGGATGGTTGCGGAGTAGATAAAAAGTTGAACAAAAAAATGCATATTAACCTGGCAATGGGAATGGAGATTCATTGCATTGTATACCAATGCAGATCCTTTAGTCGTATTTGCTGGAAGAGCTATATAGCAACCATCCAAGCTAGGGGAGAAAGCACAAAGCCCTAGAATCAACACCGGCAGCAAAAAAATCAGTCATGAAGTGAAATAATTCGTCCGGAATTAAGTTCAATATGCAACTTAAATGTAGGCTTAGATGATGATGATGACAATGCAATTTAAATGTACTCAATATGCACTAATTCAAAATATTTAGTACAAACTAAATATTTGCCTCCTGTATTTCATTACATCTCACACACTTCAAGTTTTAAGGACCAACTATAGTCTAAGAAATCCTGAATTAAGTTCAATGTGCAAATTGAATTTACTAAATTCAAAATAATTTAGCAAAACTTGCATATTTGTCTTATCCATTTCATAATATGTGGCAGCTTTAAAAAACCAATCAGAGTCTATAAAATCCAATATAGAAATATTTTGCATTGAAGTACAGGATATATCCATTATAGTGAACCTATGGCACAAACATTTGTTCATATGTTGTGAAAAGTGATACACCTAGAGAAAATGTAAAAACACCATTATAGGCGAGCAATACACATAAAAGAGTTGGGAAATTTATCAAACTATGCCAACTAAGACTTAAACTATTTAACATCTTGTGCATAGTACTTGATCTAATTTCAAACAGGCTATCTTTCTAATTTCAAAGAGCTCATCAAATGGTACATCAAAATGGGTGCTGAAATTTATCAAATTACACCTAGGGTAAAATCTTGAATAGACAAATTTTAAGGTGCATTTTGATAAATTCCCCATAAGAATATCTTTTTTTCTGCAGTTGGAAATTCATAACCAAAGTGATCCACTTGATGAGACCAAGCGCGACATATCATCTCGGCCAAAGAGTGGAAAATATGCCTTAAAAGGAAATTCCACAATAAAGTAAAAGTTTTGTCTCTGACCTTTGGTATTTGCAACAGTTTCAATTGTATCCAAAAGTGCAAGAGAATTTGAATCATATATGTATGTTCTATCCTGCAATACAATAATAAGCCTGCACATGACATAAGCAGGGAATACTTCAAGATAGGCAAAACTTTTTGAGAACAAAGATGACGCCATTTAAGATCAGCCACACCCTAGTCTTCAATTACAAGAGCTGGAAACATGTTTCAGGAACACTACATGTCCGAATGAGGCCAAAAATCTATAGTTTTAGCACGTAATCTTCCAAAAGAACTAGACAAACAGCCCTTAATAAGTTAAACATGCAATTTAGGAGCTTGTCCTTAATATCCAGGAGGTGTATCTTTGAATTTGGAAAGCAATGAAATATGTCCTTCAGCACAATCAGCCAATTAGATTGCTTCCCAATCAAAACAAAGGTTACCCTACAGCTCAGAATGAAGAAGAGGGCACAGATTAGTTTCAAAGTAAATACAGGACTTGCAAATTACATCCTGAATTTTGGGGATAACAGGGTGTAGGGAATTCGAGTTAGAATTATGAGAGAGAGAGAGAGAGAGAGACACAGAGAGAAAGAGAGACAGAGAGAGAGAGAGAGAGGGAGAGAGTGAGTGAGAGAAACTTTAGCATTTTCCTCTTTCCCCCTTTCTTTCCCAATTCTCTCTCTCGCCTTCTCCCTTCTCATTTCTATTCTTCCCTTCTCTTTCTTCTTCCCCACTCCATACTAATTTTGAGATTACACCTTTCTATTGTCATAGTTTTCCCTTATTCCTATATTTCACTTGATCTTTCATAGCCCACATGTCCTGATGGAAATTGTTTATTTTTATGTCCTGATGGAAATTGTTTATTTTTTCAATATTTCCTACCTAAAACTTTCCCGAACTCTCCAAGCATCACACACCCAACCTCTAATCCATTGAAACTCTAAAATATCCCATCTGCCTTCCTTAATACTGTCCAAAAGAAAATCTTTCATAGTCCTAAACCCCAATTCTCTCTCTATGCACGAAAGCCTTGATATCATAGTCCCTAATATCCCCAAAACCCTTGATCTAATTGTCTGTGTCATTGCAATCTTAATTTAAAACTATTCTACGGTCTCTTCTTCATTTCTGACTATAGATTAGCTTTAGATTTGATAGGAAACCAGTTTAATTGACCTGATTTTGCAGAAGAACAGAGCTTTCAGATATGAAGCCTCAAATCCTAGGTATTTAGGAAGGACGTTCCTAGATTGCATGTTTGACTTGCGGTTGCTTATTTGGTTTCGTTTCAAGACTAACTGCTGAAACTACAGATTTTTAGCATGGTTCAGACATTTAGTATTCTCCAAACATGTTTCCTGGTCTTGTAGTCAAAGATTAGTGTCTGGCTAGTCTTAGGTTACATCAACTGAGAACAAAGACATTTGAATGTAAAGTGAAGGAAGTATCCATAGAAATAATCAGGTAATCTCATGCTATTCATGGAACACAATACCAAGGACATCTCAAACATTGAAGATACGTCCTTCTTTTGCTAATCTCACAATCAAGGCCAAGACCAAAGTGTTATGAGCCTCACACCTTAACTATTATGGCAAGACGCTGAACCTCAAATTGGATTATGCAATCCTTTATATAGTTAGCAAAATTCCAATAAACAAAGGTATCACCTGCTGCTGAGGTCTGCAGCTAGAGAACCAAGTTTGAGAAACTTAACAATAACAATTTTGACCATGACAGGCATGATACCCCACCTTTTCCTATTTACTCGAACAGCAAGAATTGTAGTCAAAAAGTTCAGCTCTTTGAGTGCACATTCAGTTACAGTGTTGAATAGACAAAGGCGACGGGGTGACAATGATGGCTGTAACAGTTCACAAGAAGAAAAACAAAGGAAAGTACAATATTAAGCAAATCACTTTATTGAAATTTCAGAAAATTAAATAAATGGATTCAGCAGAATGGAAATTTCCACTTTGCAATGAAAACGAATCACATAATACACAATGGTTTAATCTGTTGCATAAGAGTACCATTATGTGATATCTTACCTGCTCCCCTGCTCCAACTATGGCAAGAAAGTTTGTACTGTACAACATCTCAACAATACCGTATGCCCCATTTACTGTTCGTTTAAGAAAAAAAATTATATCAGAATTGACTCTTTAATTCTCCCTTTCTCTCACCCTCCCTCTCAAAAATAGAAAAAACAATGACATAATGTATGCTATCAAATGAGGCTTTGAGTAACATCTACAAGAGAAAGACTATGATATGTGCATCATATGATCCAAACTCTCAAACAATAAATTATACAGATTAAAACTTCATCTAAATCTGCTTGCACGTATGCAATGTACAAAAAGCTAAGAGGCAAAATCAATTACCATAAATAGTAGTCATGCAATATCCAAAATCCTCATACAGCTAATGCTCATTTGATTCAATCCTTGCAATGATTCCATAAATTTCTCAGTTCTAGTCTATTTTAAGCAGATCAATACAATACCACCAAAAAACAGAAAAGAAAAATTGAAACGAAAAATTGAAACGCTTTCTCTCCCTTTTATTGGTAACTAGGCTGGGTCCAAACCAAAGCGAACGTCGAAACAATAGTATCAGGTTTCAATTCTGTCAGTCTTTACATTAAAGGGATGCTGCAAATACCATACACAATTAAATCCTAGCCAGTAAGTATTTTGTAAAGAATTGTAGAAATATCTGAAGGACAAAATAGAGGTTCTAGAAACTTTATTTATTTATTTTTCCCCTTAGCAACTATTTAAGCAATTCAGCTGAAGTGCTGCTCTAAAATCCTATATTAAAATTCATTGAAATTTACCTGTTTCATAGCACAATCTTCCACTCTCAGAATTAAATAACTTGAGTCCATTTCTTGTACCTATTGAAAAGCAACTGCAATGATCATGCCATAAACCAAACAATCAAATAACAATTGAAACCAAGTACTGGAAAAATCACTATGAGTACAACATAAATCAAACTCTGCTACATAAACAAACCAATTTTACAAATAATACATACAACATGAAACCACCCCTAATTGCAAAAAGCAAAACAAACAATTCCATTGAAAGACTTCATATGATCCAATTGAATATTAATATGGCGTATATCATTAAACCAGAGAACCATAAGAATGCAACGAAGAAAAGCAAGTTAGAGAGAGAGAGAGGAAATTCACCTGCTGTCTTGATTGAAAGACGCGCACAGGATGTGAGGAGGCTTGGATTGGTTCGCCATAATTGCAGCTCTTCTCAACAACCAAATCAAGAAAAACAAGAACAAATAAAAACCCTAATTTAGCGATTCCAGTGGATTCATAATGCAGTTGCAGGAACGATATTATTCTTCTTATTAACGTAGGAGCAGTTGGCGTAATCAGAAAGATAAATTGAAGGAACAAAAATTTAATGCGCAGACACAGGGAGAAAAGGAAAAGGCGTGTGCTTTTTAATCTGCGTTTATCTTACTGCAAACGAATTTGGGTTTGCGAATTTTGAATTTTCTTTGATACGTTTCATTGTTTCAAAAACTTTTTGAGAGGAAATATGCAGTTTCTATAAGGCCTCGGCTTTATGAAAACAAAATAGAGCCTCACGCGGAATTCTCGCCCCATAAGCTTTCCATAATAGCCAGTTTTCACGTATCGAATGGGAACGGTTAACCGGTAATCAGGCTTGGAGCGGTTCGACCCGGAACTGGACTGGTTAACCAGACTAACCGATCAAATAAATTTTTTTTAAAAAAAAGTCAAAACCTCTCAATTTTTTTTAAAAAAAATAGAAAAACTTAGATTAACTATATACTATCATATTACATACATTTATGTTATAAAAAAAATTTGAAACAACTTTTTATAGAATTTAATATTTGAATACTATAGGGATATGCAAGACAATTTATAATTTCTGATAAATTCAATTGATGAAGTTACAAAGTCCAACTAATAATAAATGATGCAACAATATATGCTTCTATATTGTTTTAATGTTGATATTGAAAAAAATTGTTTTAATGTTGAAAAACCCTTTAATACGGTTTAGAATTGTGTTTGAGAACGTATTTTTTTATCCCATGATGTTCCCGAACGGTTGTGAGTCAAGGCTGTAAGAGAGAGAACCTCATTTACTCAATAAGTTGCTGGGTGTGGGTCAAGGTGTTAAGTGTTGCTTCAAATGGCTAAATCACATATTTTAAAAAAATATGGCCAAGTTGGTTTTCAAATGGCCAAATCGATTTTGAAATAGCCAAACCTCATTTATTCAATAACCTTTTTTGAGCTGGGTTTTAACATGAAAAGTTTTTTCTCTAAAAGATGGCAACTTTAAACTATAGAATTAAGATACCTATTTAAAAAAAAAACAGGTTAATTTTTTATCCATTTCAGCATGGAGAAACATGAAAGATGAGCAAAACACTTTTTAGTTTCTACCTCTTTTCTTCATAGAGGCTAATACATAGATTTCAGGAGTATGAAGTTGCAACAAATGATAGATAGCTTGTAACAAAGAAAAAAACAAATTAGAAGAAGATGTCACAACCAAACAAGAAGTTGACTGTACACCAAAAATAACATTAAAAAGAAATAAATTTTTTTCTCATATCCATCACAAAAAAAAACATATTTTTATAAAAAAAATATAGCATTAAAAACAATCCAACAAGCTCACCAAAAATATATAACGTTAAAAAGAAAGAAATATTTTTTTTTTCTCATGTTCATCACAAAACAACATATTTTTGTAAAAAAAATATATAACATTAAAAACAATCCAACAACCTCACCAAAAATATATAAAATTAAAAAATATATATATATTTTTTCTCATAATCATCACAAATAACATATTTTTATAAAAACAAAACGTAATTTTATTAAAAAACAGTTTTTTTTAAGAACCCTAAAATTGAGCTAAAGAACACATAAACTTTAGAGTCAAAATCAACCCCAAATCTTTCATTTTTTGAACAAATTGACATGAGAATATAATAGATACTTCAATTAAGATTCAAATGCCCCAAATGTCATGAAGATCTATTCATGATTGGGATCTTTCTTCAAAAAATTGCGAAATTTTCACTTCATGAAAATTTCAGGAAAAAACGCAGCAAACTAAAATCGATATAAAAATATTTAATCAATAGTAAATCAAAATAACAAGTTTATTTAATAGATGAGGCCTTGATGATCAAACTTCACTGATCAATTTGATAAAAATTGATTAATTGATCGACCAGAAATCAATTTGTTTGGATAAAAAACAGTTCTTCGAGCAGCAGTACTTCGGGCAAAAAATAACCTCAACTCTTCATCGTTGGAAAATTTGAAATATGTAAACTTTGAATCCTTCAACAATGAATCAAAGCCCTCCATTGTGATGCAAATCTATGAGGTATTGAAGTTGCATTTGATAGAATGACGGAAATTTCTAATTTTAAAAGATCCCCATTTCAATCTGCCAAGAACTCTTTGTTTTTCAAATTTTGATTCAATAATCGATGATTTATAGAAAATTTCCGGTGTATAATATAAATAATTGACCGAAGAAAACAAAAAAACCAGAAAATGGAATAAAGAAAAACTGCAAAAGCTTTATTCACGGGTTCTACGAAAAATAAAGGGGTCTGTGTCAAATAACGGCCGTTATTTGATGCGTTGAAAATGATGTTATCTCTTCACGGGTTCTGTGAAAAATAAAGGGGTCCGTATCAAATAACGGCCGTTATTTGATGCGTTGAAAATGACGTTATCTCGGGCGTTAAAATGGTAAACCGGACCGATTAGGGAAAACTGGCTTGTTTAGAGTAAATACCGTTGGTTCGATCTCGAACAAGCCGGTTTTGGAGTCGATTTTTTTTTGGAGAACGGCTTCTAGTCATTATGAATGCAAAACCGGCCTTAGCCGGAGTCGGTACCTTGTCCGTACCGATCTAACCGGCCAATTCCTGTTCGGACAGGCCGGATTTGCGAACACTGATAAGAGTACTAAAATCAAAAGGACCTGGGTTTTATGCGGGCAAGCCCGCATCTGTAGAAATATGGGCCTATTAATAAATCTATTTTTGAGATGGATTTTAAGACTTAATTTTTAAGGATATTTAATCTCTAACCTGGAGATCATGAATATGAAGAAATAAATAAATTTTAAAAATAGAAATTATAATTCTAGTAAGAAAACATTTGGACTATTGGTTTCTATTGTTTTTCGGTAGAACACCTACTTGCATCTATTTTTAAGATGAATGCTTTACACTTTCTGGACTGCATATGAACACAGTTCAGCCTGCATGAAACAATTTTCCAAATTATAAGAGCCCTATTGGAACACTTACTGTGAAATTTGAAGCTCAAAAAATAGTACACACCTTAAAATTGACATAGTAGTTTATATAAACTATAAAACTTAGAAAATTGTTTGATTGGGCTGCAGCCGTATCAAAATACGTAAATCCTCACTTAATAACTCATTGAAAATTGCATGTGAAGCATTGGAAAACCTTTACATTGATCATCTCGACTTGAACATTGTGGTTGTGCAAAAAAAATAGGATTTCAAGCTTTAAAAATAGTGTATAGTGTAACAAATTATCTAAACCTTCTATTTTGCTTTAAAAATAAGTGTTCACAGATCTGCAAGATCTATAATATTTTTTGGGTTTCAAATTTTATTGTCGGTATTAGAAATTGATTTTAGAGCCATCGTAGATGTTTCTGTCGCTGCAAGTACTTTCTAGACGACGATTTGAGGTGACGCCTTATTTTGTTTTCATAAAGCCTAGCCCTTATATAAACCTCATCCATAAAACTTTGGTGTACACTCCACTTAAGAGGAACATTGCTCGATATTAATAGACAAAGGTGATGTTTATCCTCGAGTGAATGTCTTGAATCGCGTTCGACATGGATCTAAGAGACCGCGATATGTTTCAGCTCCTTTCTACACCATTTGATTGCAATCAAATTTCCTTGCTCTCCCTCAATCAGCCTTCTTAGTCTCTGTTGTAGTGCTGCTATAATTTTCTGGCTCATTTGCTGTTCCTACACCATTAGTTCATGACTAAGTTAGGAATATGGATCCATTGTAATTATACAGTATACCTCCTGCACCAGCTACTTCAGAATTGCATGGTTGTTGCCATAAATATTTAGTTTGATTGTATCATTTGGAGGTGCAGTCCATCTTCCATGAATCTGAACATTTGGACTTCTTTACCCAATTTAATCGCTTCGTCAAATTTGTTAATGATTTCATTGCTTAAAATTCCCCATAATTCCCTTTGAAATTTATCCCAAGTAATCAGTATAGCCACAATCCCTTCTTTAATTCTCTTCAGGTTCATAACCAATCCTTTAAAAGGTGCTTCAATTATAGGCCACCTTTCATAAAAAAAAAAAACACTCAATCGGTTTGTGGAAATATTTCAAGAAATCTTTCACATATTTTCATTGTGTTTTTGGGAGCCTGCCAATCGAGGTAGGTAGGCGGTTCGATTATCATCGGTCATTACCAAACGTCATGATTTGGGCTACCATGACTGGTCTGCCCCTGACTCCGGCTCTTGCAGGTCTCGACTATGCAGCAGCCTAGGCTACCATTAGGTATTTGAGAGATTTTCCAAGGGATGAGATAGTATGAACCCTTCTCACATTGTGATTTTGATCATGTTTATGTTACAGAGTATTCAACAGGGAAGTCATTTTGTGCATCTTGGAGCCATATTGTACATTAATAGTTGCATTGGCCCTATGATCATTTGAGGTACTAATAATGAACTAAAGAGACATTTTGTGCATTGTTATATGTGATTCATTCCATCTCTGTGCTGAGGCATTTCGATCATCAGGCCTTGGCGACTATTTTCTTCCATTAAACACTTAGACGCATCAGGTGTGACCTCACAAAACATTTCCACAATTGAATACTTGAAGCACTTGAGCCATTGAGCCCCCTGACCCGTAAGTTATTGAACTCACTCGCGTATACTACCATTAACCACTTCACTGAGGTTCAACTCAGTCATTTTACTTAAGGACCCTAGGGATAATACAAAGTGCCCTGTTTATGGCTTGAAATTACAAAGAAGGTATTTACATCAAAAAAATTTTACAAAGGAAGGCAGTTAACTCGGGATTTTTTTTTTCAAAATTGCCTCTCAATCTGAAGATGGCATCCTTGACTGAATTTGAAACTCTTTTCTTAGTTTTTTTCGTTTGTAGGGCAGTGCCCCAAGTTTTACGGGCAATACCGTGGTGGTCCATAAGGATTCACATATTGGACCACCTTCTGGTATTCGATATGTGGAAGTCCATGCGGTCCGAAGATGCCAACCTTGGACCACGTTATTCTCGTTACACTAGAATGTAGCCCGAATTTGGCATCCTCGGACCGTCGTAAAACTGAGTTTTGCTCAGTTCAGGAGGCAGTCCAAGGTTCCCATCCTTGGACCACTATTTTTTCTACAAAAAGAATAATGACGGTCTGAGGATTTTAACCTTGGACTGCCTGGGCACTGCCCTTAAAACTTGGAGCACTGCCCTACTAAAGAAAAATCTAAAAAAATAAAAATAAATTCAAATTCAATCCGAAGATGCCTTACTGGAACCGAGGGGAAATTTTAGAAAAACAAATCGCGCGTTGACCCACCTTCATTATAATTTCAAGCTATAAACAAAGAATTTTGTATTTTCTCTACTTTTTTAGGGGCCTTGTGTAAATTCTTCTTTATATTATAGTCGAACAATTTGACGTGGTTCCATGAATTCACTCGTTTCATCGTCATGAGCCTTTTCTGAATTATTTGGAGGTTGGCTAGAATTCACACATTTATATTACAATTAAATGCTTCATCTAGACCACCATTAAGCACTTAGGCGTGTGGGTTGCCATGCTGGTCTGTAAACGTTGCCAATGCGTACTTTGACGGCAGGCATTGGCCCACTCATACTGCCATTGCCATTACTTTCACGGTTAGAGCTGAGGCTTCTTCATGTGTTCCACCCAAGGGGTGGGACTCCCCTCAGCCAAGATACTGGTCCCTTAATTGAGGCGAGTCACTCGGTCGAGTCTGAGTACACTCGACCGAGTCCCGCCTCAGCCAAGATACTTGCCCCTTAACTGAGACAAGTCACTCGGTCGAGTCCGAGTAGACTCGGCCAAGTCCCATCACATAGATTCCATTCACTATGGTCAGTCCTTCTTAGCTCCAAAGGTCAGCCCCCTCTGTAGGCCCTTTGTAAGATTCTTTTTCATGTGACCTCTTATGAGGTAGTTTATCTTTCTTACCTCTTTTATTTAAAAAAGTTAGAGCTCATCTAAATAAGCAATCTAAGCTATACAAGTGCATCTTTGAATAAGTTACTTCAAAAATCGATGAACACTGGAAAGGAACCCTAGAAAATCCATATATAATACATTCATGGCTAAGTAAGAGACTAGAGCACCTATATTTTGGTTGTGATAATAAAAATTTGACCCATCCTTTTAGTATATTGGTAAGGCTTTCAACCCGATATTTTCCCTAAAAAAAGGACACTCAAACAGGCCATAGGCAGATTCATCATGTGAGAGGGATGTGGTAGACAAGTTCATATAGGCCGTGTTTGATTTGGGAAGGTGCTGCCTTAGGAGCCGCATCTTCCTAAAGAAGGAAAATAACCCCTTCCATGGGGCCATAGAAGACACCACTTCTCTCTTTTAAAAAATGAGTTTTGTATGGCTCTTTTGTTGCCCGTTTATTACTATATGGGTTCTTTTTTGCCAAAAATTATGAGGAGATATACTCCTTTAGGATTATAGTTTAACTTTACTCCATCGGTAAAACGACCTACTTGGGAGGGTTTTTCAATTTAAATATTTAGGAACTACCTAATAATCCTTAGATGATTATTTTCAAAAGTTAAAATTTGAAATTTAAGTTTTTTATCGATTAGATATCACCCCTAAAAATGTGATGGTCTCCATTCAATCTTGAGAATTTTTTTTTTTTTGTCCAAGTGTGTAGAAGATGCAATCAGGAATTTGTTTTTGTTGAAGTTAATCAATGGGTTGAAGAGATAATATTCCTAAAATTTGAGTTCCTTAAATTGATCGTAGATGTGATTTTGCCCGAGGGAGTAAATGAACATTGTATTCCCAATGGAGAAAAATTTCTTTTGGTTTAAATAAAAATGCGAGCACAATTCAGGAAAAATAATGCACACCAGTTGGGGGGTGCTCCTCATAAATTTTGGAAAAAAGGAACCCATATAATAATAAAGGAAACATTTTATATAGAGCCGAGGCTCTAAACAATCAAATTAGAGTGCTTCTCAAAATTTTAATTAGAAAAGGCCATTTTGATGCTCAAATATCCTCATTTGATCAACTTGACATCAAGATGCAGGGACGTGAGAAAAAATTGATTTAAAGTTTTGAAAATAGTGTATCTTGTAATGCATTTTTGGACCGTCAATTTTCAAGCTTTTCAAGTTCTCATAGATCTCTTGATTGAAGCTTTAAATTTTATAATTAGAAATGAAGATATATTTTAGGGAAAATTTTATATAGAGCCGAGGCTCTAAACAATCAAATTTGAGCCTACCTCAAAAATTTCACTGGAACATGTTGTTTTGATGCTCAAACATCTTCAAATTGATCATCTCGAAATCAAGATGTATGGACATGAGAAAAAAATGGATTGCAAATTTTGAAAATAGTGTATTTTGTAACTTATTTTTGGACCTTCAATTTTCAAAAATTTCAAATATTCATAGATATGTCGATCTACATTATTTTTGAAGCTTTAAACTTTATAAATAAACATGAAAATATATTTTGAAGCTATCACAAAGATTTTCACTATTGAATAGGCTATAATTTGATTGTTTAGAGCGTCGGCTCTATACAAATCGCACCCAATTATAAATGGGTACAAAAGCCATCTAATTTTCTCTTTAAAAAATATTTTGGAAGTGGCAAGAAACTGTGGTTCTCAAAAATCATGTTATATTTCTCAATTTCGATTCCGAACTGCCCATAAAAAATCGGAAAAGTACAGCAGGAGCAGTGGGAGTAGTGAGTAAAGGAGAGATTGAAGCCAAAGGACCTTTAAAACTGGGCAGAGAGAGAGGGACAGAGAGGGAGAGGGTCTAAAGGAGAAGATTGGAGCATTAAAAAAGGAAGTGAACATCACATGCTCATTCCTATGTTTTAGAAATGTCTTCAGTAAGCTTATTCAAACTATTATAAGATGAACCACCCTCACCCACTGCCCTCTTAGCCTTCTCCTTTATGTCTCCTGCTCTCTCCCTCGCCTTTCTCCCCATCTCCCCCCTCATCAACTCCACCACTCCTCTCTCTACAACTTCTCTCTCTACAGACACCCCTTCACTGTGAACCAGCCTTATCCCAGCCCCCAACTCCTCCTCTACAATGCTTGCATTCAAACGTTGCTCAGCCATCATAGGCCAACCTAGTATGGGCACCCCATGTGCTAAACTCTCTAAAACAGAGTTCCATCCACAATGGCTCATGAAACCACCTATAGCACAGTGGCCAAGCACTTCAACTTGCGGGACTCAGCCTCGGACCACCAGTCCACGCCCCTTGACCCTCTCCTCAAACCCATCATCGAACCCTGTCTCGCCTCACTACCCACAAGAAGCTTGCCCCCGAGCCCTCCAGCGCTAAGCCTACTTCTCTCATTTGAGACTCCCCTAAACGAGCTTGGGTCCCGAAGGCCACGTATAGCACAGAGCCCTTCTCCATGGTGTTGAGCCAATCCAAGCACGATGCATCCTTAGTCACTGGGCTCTCCCCTGCAAACATGTAGAAATTCCATGAAAACAATGTGTGAAACATAGCATATATATGCCTGTCAGGGGTGGCAATGGACCTGACGGGTAGACCCAATTTCGGTTCTGGGTATAGGTCTAAATTTTGGACCCGAGTACTATTTGGGTCCGGGTTTGGTTCCAACTGGACCTAATCCTTACCCGACCAGTACCCGTAGTCATAGGGTATGCAATGGTAATCATGCTAGTTTAGGCGAACGCTATGTGTTTATATTATCACAATATTGGCAACATTTACATTATTATGGACAAAAAAAAAAAAGGTGCGGCTTGTATAGAACCGAGTTTCTAAACAATCAAATTCGAGCCCACCTTCAAATAGTATCAAGAAATATGGTTTTAATATAGGAAAGTTTTGTGATAGCCTTAAATTATGTTTTCATCTATAGTTATACAATTTAAAGCTTAAAAAATAGTGTAGATCTATGAAATCTTGAAAATTACAAGATGCACTATTTCTAAATCTTGAAATCTATTTTTTTTTCTCATGTCCATATATATTGATGTCGAGAAGATCAATTTGATGATATTTGGGCATCAAAACAACCTCTTCTATGGAAAGTTTTGAGATAGGTTTTAATTTGATTGTTTAGAGCCTAGGGTCTATATAAACTTTCCCCAAAAAAAAAACGCAGCTCATAATCATAGGGTATATAATGGTACAAAAAAGGGAAAATAATAATAATAATAATAAGGAAAATTATTTCATGTGGGTTGGACCGCATATCTACATATGCAGTCCTGAAAGTGTAAAGCACCAATCTTAAAGATGGATGCAAGTAGGTGTTCTATATAAAAACAATGGAAACTAACGGTCCAAATGTATTCTTACTAGAATTATTATTTTAGTTTTAAAAATTTATTTATTTATCATATTCATGAGCTCCATGTTAGAGATTACATGTTCTTAAAAATTAAATCTTGAAATAAATCTCAAAAATAGATTTATTAAAGAGCCTGTATTTCTACATATGCGGGCTTGGCTGCATGGAAACCGGGTCCTAATAATAATAAGCTCATAGTCATAGGGTGACAATGGATACCCAGGACCCTACGGGTCAAACCCAGGATCCGACTGGTAGACCCAAGACCGGACGCCTCAAGGTATGGATCCAAATTTTAGACCCGAAAACTATTTGGGTCGGGGTCGTGGTCTAGGTCCAGCCAGACCTGACCCGTACTTGACCAGTTGCCACCCCTAATGTCAGTGTAGTACAATTGATACAAATGGAGTGAAGTGAAATGCATAGATATATACGTTTCTAGCGTCTATACAAGTGGATTCTTAGTTTTGTAAGCATATTACTTGCAGGAAAAAGTTTATATTGAAAAACTATGTGATTGATCATCTCGACATCGAGATGTATGACTATGAAAAATAAAAAGATTTTGAGCCTAAAAAATAGTACATCATATTATCTACACCGTTCAGTTTCAAGATTTTCATATGTTTATAGATCTATTTGATTTTAACCAATTTTGAAATTTAAAATTTTATAATTAGAGATAAAAATAGATTTTGAGATAATGCTATGAACATTTTACATCAAAAATATATATTATGATAAAATTTGAAGGTGCACCGTACCTTATGGAAACGGCACCCTTACTTGTATATTGTAGGTTATTAACAAGTACCTCGCCTCCTAACCATTGATTGTTGGTATCAGACGGCTGAGGAACCTGCTTATATCTTGTATGGATATGAATACCTGTAGTATTCCTTCAATAAAGTGTAGAATTCATGTTTATGCTAGACCTCACCTGGTGGTGGATCATTCCACAGAAACATGGGTCCGAGGCACCAGGAGCGTGGCCTCCCTGCATCCAAGACGCTGATAAATTCAGGCTCAAGCTCATCGAAAGAGTTAACAATTTCCCCGAAGCTGTGCGGTGTGGCCGTGCCCACCTCCAAGATAAAGACACAATCAGGGTCTTCGGGGTCCTGGCCCCGGAAACCATCTGGGACGTCGGCATACTTAATCGTCTTCCCTCGTGGCATGCTCGGAAGGGACAGAATCTCAGGGCCTTGAGGCAAGGGTGCGCCACGAGCAGCGATGACTCGGAAGAGCCATGTGCTGCAGGCATCTACGCCCATGAAGGAAATGCGTGGTATACCTAGTTTTGTAGCAATAGGCAGAGTCCAATATAGGAATGCATCAGAGATGAGCGCCATGGGAGGGTTGATGGCTAGGATTTCAGTTAGAGCTTTCTCGAAGTGGGCACAGAGCTCTTGAGTTGCACGCAGAAAGGGATAGAACATGTCCATGGACGTGAGCTGGTCGGTGCTTTCGCATCCTTCTGGCAGGCCTGGCCAAGAAGGGAAGCGGAGATTGACAAGGTTGATATTATGGTTTTTGGGGAGCATCTTCTGGTAGAAAGGTGAGTTACCAGGGGTCGAGAAGAGGGTGAGGCTAAGTCCTCGGTGTGAGAGAGCGGCGCATAGGTGGAGGAGGGGGATGGCGTGGCCTCGAGAC